AAGCGCAAAAATAGAATTTAAACAAATTGAAATTTTCCCAAAAAAATATTATGTTATTAGAAGGAAAAAAGATGTTTTTCTTTAAGTCTCATTTTTGAAAGTGTTTATTAATTTAACTAGTGCAGTTAGTAGTAAAAAATGTCGAATGCTGATGATCTAGAATGTATCTCTCCAGAAATTGCTATTGGTAATTAGTATATGTCAAAATGCCATGGTAAAATTAAAAAAAAACGCTTAAGCGCAAAAATAGAATTTAAAAAAAATTAAAATTTTCCCAAAAGAATATTATGTTATTAGAATGAAAAAAGATGTTTTTTTATAATTCTGACTTTTGAAAGTGTTTATTAATTTAACTAGTGCAGTTAGTAGTAAAAAATGTGGAATGCTGATAATCTAGAATGTATCTCTCCAGAAATTGCTATTGGTAATTGGTAAATGTCAAAAATGTCATGGTAAAAGTATTTCTAACAGTATTTCTACTCCATGGCTAAACGGTAAAACTTCTACTTGTGACATTTAGTCAATTTAATAGAATAGTACAATAGAATAAACAATACTAGAATAGTATATTTTGTTATTAGGAGGAAAAAAGATGTTTTTTTATTCTGACTGTTGAGATTTTCGAAAGTGTTTATTAATTTAACTAGTGCAGTTAGTAGTGCAAAATGTCGAATGCTGATGATCTATAATGTATCTCTCAAGGATTGCTCTTGGTAATTGGTAAATGTCATAATTCTATGTTAAAAGTAAAACGCATAAGCGCAAAAATAGAATTTAAAAAAAATGAAATTTTCCAAAAAGAATAATACCTATATTATGTTATTAGGAGGAAAACAGATTTTTTTGAGATTTTTTTTTTTGAGAGAGACTGTTGAGATTTTCGAAAGTGTTTATTAATTTAACTAGTGCAGTTAGTAGGTAGTAGAATGTATCTCTCCAGAAATTGCTATTGGTAATTGGTAAATGTCAAAAATGTCATGGTAAAAGTAAAAACTCTTAAGCACAAAAACAGTATTTCTACTCCATGACAAAACGGTAAAACTTGTGACATTTAGTCATAAAAGTGGTCACTTTTGTGATGCTTCAAAAAATTACCGATAATCCCACGATTCCCACTCCGGCGATAACAACCCGAGGCCAGTCCTGGTAATAAACACCCAGAGGCACTGCAAGAATCCCAAAGAAACAAAACGCGGTCAAAATATGGGCCAAGGCTATGGTTAGTCTTCTTCCAAAACGTCGTATGATGAAGACGCAAAGAAGAGTCCCCGGAAAAGCCACAAAACCACTAATAGCTGCTGTGAAATAAAGATTGCTACCCACTTTTCCTATATATTGCGAAAAAGCGTAGAACGTTATTCCAGCAATTAACCTAAAAAAAAAAAAATATATTGACCAATAGAAATTTATTAATAATTTGTACCAGTTGATGCACAATAAAACATTCCTCTTCGTTAGCTCTGTCGTAGCGAATAGTGCCGCAAGTTTTGGTTTATTTTCTTTTCTCACATCGGGGGATAATCTATTGGCAACAGTTTTGACATTGTCGCTATCCATTTTGTTACATTTTGCTGCCTTTTCGAGGATTTCGATAGCTTCAGTTTTTTTTCCTATTGCTAACAACCAACGAGGTGATTCAGGAACAAACCATAAGTAAAGAATGTAAAAAGAGGAAATTAGGGATAATGTCAAGTGTAGATCTCTCCAATCCCGGTGGAAATACGCAATCCCGGCCATTATAGAGTTACCAAACCCATATGGTATTTGGTATAGGATTGGTACAATACTCCTCCAAGTCCCACCAACTGCCTCCATACACATGACAAAAGAAATAACAATTGTTCCACCATTGGCTATAGCTAGGAGAAATCTTGTCACTATAAATCCCCAATACCAAGGGATTTGTGAGGCTAAAATCCCGAAAAGTGACTGAAGAACAATACAAACAATCAAAGTTTTTTTTCTTCCATGACGATCGCCAATTACTCCAAACAGTATATTGCCTGTGAAACACCCATTAATCAATGATATTACTTGGAGGGGAGAAAACCTAATAAAACCCCAAACATGAGAGAAATTTGAGACACATCCACAAGTCGTTTATCCTCACAAACCAAATTCCATTCCGTGATAATACTCGAATGGAAAACCGTTTTGTTGTATTCGTAACCGTTTGGGCAAGTGGTTAGTGTGTTGTTGACAAGGCTGTGGCAAAAACCCGAATTGAGACCTTCCTGAAATTTTTGCAATTTTACAAGAACCGTTTTTTTAACCACTTACGTGTCTCAGGAAAGTGTGGTTTTGTTGCGACCATTCGTTTGATTTGCACCAGAATTGTGTTGGTGGTGCCAAAAAAACGATACTCATTTGAAACCAAGCAATGGGGAATTTGAGAAGGGCCATTAGGGCCGAAATTTTGAATTGCCAACGGCCGAAATTACCAATCGTGGATTGAATAATGTCTTCTTCGTGTTTCTCTTCATGTTCACAGTGACTTTCTACAATAGCAAAAATTGTATGGAATTAAAATAAAATTAAAAGTTACCCAGCTGGGACATGGTAAAAATAATCCAGAAAACACTAAACACATGTGGAAGAACTCGGAAATCAACTGTTTTAATTTTGATGCAGAAGAGAAATTCACACTGAAGTGAAAGTCAGCCAATGTTTGATTCTACATGTCATAAATTAACGTTATTAAATCGTTTGAGTTTGGATTTAATTTTTTACAGTTAAGTTTGTTAATTAAAACTAGATTTTCTAATATTTAAATGAGAAAAAATTCGAAAAAAATTCGTATTTTTATCAAAAGTTTTAAACAAAAGATGAAGCATTCTCTTGTTGACCTTTTCCTTATTCTGAAACTTTCACGTGATCTATGTTTTCGTGGAATTCCTTATTTAAATTGTATTTTCTAAAATTGTCTAATTCGGGTTAAATAGTTCAGTTATCACACCTGTGGTGTTTCTAACAGATTTATGTCCCACTTAAAAACAATACTTGCACATGTATGATTTTTTATTACCGATGCCATATAGAGCATAGCAACAAAATGAATAAGCATAGCAATAGCATTAGATTTAAATGTTAACGGAGAATGTTAAAATATTCAACAGATTATTGCTCAACTAGTAATATTATCAATCTTTATCTCAAGTTTATATCAAAGAAATGAACCTATTTGTGGAAAATTATGGGAAAACTAAAATTGCTGATGGAAAATATTTTCCGCTTTTAATGACACTTAAGAATAAATGTTTAGCTGTTTAAAAAAGTCGTCTTCAAAATTTTATGTAGTAGAATTTATGGTCAAAAAACATTTAAAATGAAAAGATTTTTACTKAAACTAAATACTATGACAAAATATAGATAAACCCTTATTTTTTAAATWGTATTATTGGTTGCCTAAACTAGGCATAAAAATAAAGAAAAATATAGATATTTAGTGATGTTTTGGTGATAAATTCGCATTATACAAGGTTTTTATGTGCTTGTAAAATCCACTCAACAACATAATTCGGTAAAAACTTGATTAAAAATATTGAAAAATTGCATACATCTCGTGCCATTTCTATAGTCACACTGGCAACGTCGCATTTGCGTTTTTTGAGATGAAATAGGGCACAAACATTTAATCTCTGTGTAAAAAAATATGTGTTGAAACTAAATCTTGCTGAGAAATTTAGAGTCAAAAAACTCTACTATTTCATACAGAAAAATATTTTGAGAAGTGACAAGATATACAGGGTGCGCCAGAACTCACGCCCCAGAGAAAAATGCTATAAAAAGTAAGATACCAGGAACATGGAAAAAAATGATAAAAAAAATTTATCTATAAAAATTTCGAAGTTATGACAGTTTAAATTTTGCACTTTGACTCTATTTATTTCTGTTGAAAAAATGATTTTCCAAATTTTTTTGCTACAGGCTATTATAAGAGGAAACAAGGAAGCTCTATCCTAAATCCTAAGTCTGTACAGTGTTATTTGTGGCTTTTATTGGCAAAATTTTTCTACCTTTACTAAATAATAAAAAAAAACATATACAAGATTATCAGTATAATTAAATAGACATAAAAAAAATGTCAAATGTCAAAAAATAAATGTCAAAATTTTTTGACAGATAGAATTTTTTAAACAATTTTTCCATGTTCCTAGTATTTTATCTAATTGATTTAAAATGTATTTTTTTGTATCTAATGTTGTGATGATTCTATTGTACATACTGGAGTGGGTAGGAATATTGAGGGCAGGCGTTGTAAAATTATATGAACCACCTTATATATTTGACATTTGTTTTCGATAATGTTGTATTTAATGTTTATAAAACTTTTTAGCAGTATTAATATTTTTATTTATTTAGCACAGTTCTATTTCGATTTTATCAAATGGTCATCACCACATTCAGGGAAAAAGGGCTAACGGCTTCAAGTCCCTTAGAGGTGAATGCGAGGGGTTTTAGTGGGTATGGCCTTTTGGCGAGTCCCACATAATCAGTTCTGGTTTAACCAGACTGGTATGCGTAAATGCATTTCCCCTTTTCAAAAAAAAAAAAAAAAAAAAAAAATAGAAGGTAAGTGAGCTAAAATAGTATATTATAATGCTATAAACGCCATTGTAGCCTGGCTTCACTCGTGCCTAATAAAACACATGTCAAGAGAAGTTTATTCACGTTTACTATACGTTTTCTACGACCACCACAAAAAAATACTTAAATTAAAAATTAAATTAAATGACAGAAAGCTAACTTCAGCCCGTGACTAATATGACAGTTGCTATTAGCAACGTAATTAATACGCATATTAGTCACGGCTTGTCAAGATGTGTATAAAAGATCACTTTAATCCGTGTTTTAGATGTGGGAATACATGGTATGCACATACAGAGTGCGTCAGAACTCCCGCTTCAAAGACAAATGTCATGTAGGGTAAGGTACCACAAACAGAAAAAATTAAAAAAAAAATCTATCTATAAGAGTTTCAAAGTTATGAGAGTTTAAATTTTGCACTTTGACTCTATTTATTTCTGTAGGGAAAATAATTTTCCAAGTTTTTTTYCTACAGYCCATTAGAAGAAGAAACAAAAAAGCTGTGTCCTAAATTGTAACTCTGTTCAATGTTATTTGTGGCTTTTATTGGCAAAACTTTTGTACCTTTACTAGATAATTGTAAAAAAAACATATACAAAATCATCAGTATTATTAAATAGACATAAAAATAGTCAAATGTCAAAAAACAAATGTCAAATTTTTTTGACAGATAGAATTTTTTAAACATTTTTTTTATGTTCCTGGTATCTTATTTTACTTGAAATTTTTCTTCGACTTCATTAAACTTATAAATATCTCGATTCCATTAGAATTAAAAAGAATTTATTTGGTAATACATAGGCTGTTCAAAAAATCGCGCATTTCCTTGAAAGGGAGTAATTGGGTAGTCCCCAGAGTACTGAAAAAATGTTTAAAAAATTCTATCTGTCAAAAAATTTTGACATTTATTTTTTGACATTTGTCATTTTTTATGTCTATTTAATAATACTGATGACCTTGTATATGTTTTTTTATAATTATTTGATAAAGGTACAAAAATTTTGTCAATAAAAGCTACAAATAACATTAAACAGAGTTACAACTTAGGATACAGCTTCTTTGTTTCCTTTTCTAATAGCCTGTAGCAAAAAAACYTGGAAAATWATTTATCCTARAGAAATKAATAAGAGTCAAAGTGCAAAATTTAAACTCTCATAACTTCGAAATTTTTATAGATAGAATTTTTTTTAATTTTTTTTTATGTTCCTGGTACCTTACCCTACATGGCATTTGTCTTTGGGGCGCGAGTTCTGGCGCACTCTGTATGTGCATATGATGTAGAACGTTACTCCTTCAACTTTTAAAATCGCGATATCTCAGGAATGGTGATTCTTAGAAAAAAAGTATAAAGACCATTTTGTAGATAATTTTAAGATCTATAATTTTCGTCTGGGCTACTTTTTTGATAAAACTTGCCGTTTTCGAAAAAAATCTAAAAAACGTCAAAGATTGACCTTTGACCCCGAATAACTTTTTTAGCACACATGGGATCGATGGGGACTTTTGACACTTTATTTCTAATGGTATACCCAAGGTCTCCACCAAAATTTAGCTCTGTCGGAATTTTCGTTATTTGACCACTATTTTTATGACTAATTTGACCGGACTATTAGAAGTATCTGAATGCTGCAATTTCAGATGAATTCACCCCTTTTATTCTCTTTAATAAAATCCAAAGCGTGAACGAGCTTTAAAAAAAAATGAAATCAATAAAATCCTTTCGGAATCCCCGTTAAAATCTTATTGCGTCTCATAAAAATAAATATCTCGGAGATTCTTTTTTGATACGCATTCGCAACAAAATCTGCGAAAGAGCTTATATAAGAGAGAACAGACTCGGAGTCATTCACCCCATAAGGTTGAAGTCCGCAATGCTCAGCTGTTCTGAAACAACTTCGATCATGGTTTACTGCCAACGGTGTACACTTCGCTTTATAACGCCGTGCCGACTTGATACTATTTTTGGATTATTAAACTAATAAGTTGTAATCTTACATCACGATGCGATTGTTCTCGTTTTGCCAGGCTTCTAAACTCGCCGAATTCTTGAATTGATTTATAAAATTGGACTTTTATGGCATGTTTTTGCACAAATTCATTTTTTAATTATTCACCGATAAACAGTTTGTCAGATTTCTCTTTTTTTAGTGTCTGCATTTTTAAAAGCGAAGGAAAAGGTAAAAAAAAGTTTGACACTTTTGGAACATTCTGTATATTTGCAAAATTAGTTGTAAAAGCTTTCGGCAGAAAAAGTAGTACCTTAATTTGATTCCGAGTAAAAGAGGTTTCAAATTTGAAAACATTTTTAGACAGACAGACAAATTTTTCATAAGAAAAAGAATTTTTGTTTAGCAAACACAGAGATAAGTAGGCCTTTTCGTTTTATGAACAAAATTGAGTTCAAAGGTTTGTTTCATGATTTTCAAAAAAATAATAATCTCAAGACTCCTAATATACAAGTGTCCTATATATAAATTTCAGAAGTTTTTGTCTGGCTAAAAATTCATAGTCTCTTCTGTTTCGAAAAAAAAGCAAGTGAACTTTTGTTTTTTTTTTGGTTTTTGAAAAAACATTTTTGTTTTGTCAGATTTCTCTTTTTAGAGTGTACATTTTTTAAAAGCGATGACAAAAGTAATAAAATATAAAAGTTTGACATTTTTGGAACAGATTGTGTATTTAGAAAATTACTCGTAGTTTTCACCAGTTGTAAAACTCGTTGTATGAGTTAAAAGCTTTCCTACAAAAAAAAATATTACCTTTATTTAATTACGAGTAAATGAGGTTTAAAATCGTTTTTGGTTCATTAATCCTCAAAAAGTGTTTATGTTAACATTATTCATAATCAAAGGAAAAGTGAAAACTTTGCACTTATTTTTTTTTGTTCTGTAAGAAACTGTAAAATACCTCTTTGAATGAAAGTTGAAAAGACAAACAAGTCTTTCATAAAAAAAAATTGTCTAGCAAACACAGAAATAAGTGAGCCTGACTCGAAAACAGATACAAGTTTTTGGTTCCCTTTATTTTATGATTTTCAAAAAAAATWAATAAATACTAATTTCTAATA